CAGCTCCGACTAAGGGGGGTGCTAGAATATAGGAATATAGAATATTTCCGTATTGATGATAATGACATATATGTAAATAGATTACTTGGAGAACACTCCTCCAACGCCTATATAAGGCTTGTGTCAATAATATAACTCTCCACGTAGATTCATAATCTTACAGTTTAGACTGCCATGCGGCCTTTGCGGCAATCAACAAAACATCTGACTGGCCTCGTTACCGTGTTTTATTGCATCAAATCCATTTCTTTAGCTCTGGTTTTCGGTTCTATGGTTTTGAGGTAGTATCGATTGGAGCAAACTCTATAGCTCATGCGATTTCAACAAGTGTTACATGAGACGAACGTTTTAATTCGTACCTTGCCATGGGTGGCCCGGCTTGGCTGCATTATCGAATTCTCCGGGAAGCAAGATTGTAATCTCTTCATATCCATTGTTAATGGTTCTGAGTTTCAGTTTGTTTCTCTTTCTTTTGTTTTCGAGCCTTGGTTTTGTGGCTCTGGTTTTTGTTTTCATGGACATGTTCTGTGGCTTCAGTTTGATCCCATTTCAGCAATAAAGTCGATTAAAAAAATACTAATAAGCTTACTTATGTTTTAACATTGTCCTACATCGTTTAAATGATTAAAAATATGTGATATAAGAGAGAAAACACACTTCAATGTTCAAAAGTGTGCACCTTGAAAGAGAAATGGCTAAGCCGCTTGCTCGGCTCGGCACGTGAGCTTCATATTTGGCACTTGGCGCTTTATGATCATAATTTTTTTGGTCGAAGTTAACACGCTTTGAATTCAAAAAGAATCCTAACATTTTTTTCTTTTATTGCAAAATCGTAACAGCTCTGTGTCTTGCGCTCCACACTTGCGATTATTGCCCTTGATCTACGCCATGTTTTTTATGAAAAAGGAGCTGATCACCTCTCTCCCTTCGCTATATATACAAGGCTCACCTCTTCTCATTATTCACTCACTCATCTTTGAAACATTTAGAAAGAAAAAAACTCCAA